AATTCCCTGCCTTGAGTTCCGGGCTTGAGTGGAGGAAATTTCCCAGCATGAACTGTTTGCAAAGAAAAGCTAGCGCTGACTGTGTAATGCAGGCAAGCAGCATTCTCAGCATTCAGCTGAGAATCCAGGCTTTCGTTACTTTTGGGGAATCTTAAAAGTAACGAAAGCCAGAATTCATGCATTTTATGAATCATAGTAGACTGCCAGTAGGATTGAGTGATTTTTTCACATCTGTAATGTTTGATGGGTAGATGTGGGGGTCTTCAAGGAGGTGCTCTATGAACTTCGAGTAGTGTGCAGTCGCTAGAATTCACATGGAATAAATTCTTAGTGTGACGCTGCTTCCTCAGGCATTACCTCTCACAGATAAGTTTGCTTCTGACTGCTATGTGTGTTAATCAAAGAGCTTTTCGGTATTTCCTAAAATCCATCTTTTTTATACTCGAGCCATTTACCTATAACTTGGTGCTTTCCCCACCGAGGGATTCAAGAGTCGTGTCTGCTCAGCACCTTGGTGATTTACAGCTCATTGTACCTGTTGAATTTGTAAGTGAACTTGCCATTTATTTTTCATTCACCACCAAAATAATGCTAAACATACTTTGCTATATGCATTTCAGTACAGTCAACTCTTTAGTAATCGACTACCAATGGTTCACGACAAAGTCGTCGCTTATAGGAGGTTATCATCTATGGGGAAAAAAAAGAAGAACATCTCAAATTTTTGCCCCAAGAAGAGGTTGTGGTCATTTAAGAAATTTAAGTAGTGGTTGCTTACAAGAGACTTTTTGAAGCAGTATTTGTACAAAGTGGTCACTTATGGGAGGTGATTACTTACGAGAAATGGTTGTGAGAGAAATGACTGTATAAAAGGACAATGAAACAAAATGAGAAGAAAGAAATGGGAGTGTTTATGATAAGATATTGGCAGCTGGTCACCTGTTCAGTTTCTAACTCCACCTGTCAGGGCTTAAATTGAGTTGCAATAATCACCTCCAGTTCTGCATGATTTTTTAAGACACCAATTTCCATTTTAATTTGCACGTTCAGGTGTGACTGAAGGTATGAGTATTAGGGTTAGTGTTAAAGTTAGAATCTTCAGTCACACCTGTGCAGCTACAATTTTAATCCTTGATTAGTGTGGGAGTTTTTTACTCCAGGTTACCATAATGCCATAGCCACTGAGTGTCTCACTTACTTGATATTGCAGTCAAATTCAACATTTAAGCATGTGTTACTGGTAAGGGTGGGGGCGTTACACAAGAGGGAGGGAAGGATTTTCTCGTCATTTCCGCAATCAATGAAAGTGATAAAAAGAAGCTGTTCGTTGATGTCCTCCATCGCATTGTAGTGCAGAACCATTGCTTGTGTAAATGGGCTTTGTTTTTGGGAAAGGCGACTGATTGTTTGCTCTCGTTTCCATAATGCCTGAGCCACTGAAAATATCTCACTTATTTGATATTGCAGTCAAATTCAACATTTAAACAACGAGTAACAAGGAAGCTGATAAGTCATGCCTTGGGAGTGGTTGGTTGTACTGGTCTCATGTTTACCAGCTATTTCACTATCACTGGGGATGAACAATTTTACAAATCTTTCATCATGCCTTCGGTGATGAGAGTTCTTGGTGCTGAACAAGCTCATACATTTGCGGTCTGGTTAGCCAGTAAAGGCTTGATTCCTGTTGATGTGGACAGAGACCCTGAAATACTGGTAAATTTAGTGAACAAAGCCCTTCAGTAGTTTTTTCAGAAACTAATTTTTTTTCTGGAAGAAAGCTTTCACAAGAATAATCATTTTACAATAGTTAGTTTTCATTTAAAAAGGACTTTGTTTTAATATAAGGGCTTTTCTTACCATGAATTTAAATCTTGATGTTAAGTGGTAAGATCTAAAGACATCAGTATACTCCTTTGTTCCAGAATATTTTCCAAAAATGTTCAACTGAGATAATTTGATGCTATTCATAGACTATTTGTGATTATGATTGTTTTCATTTTCATGCTGATATTGCAATGCTGGATTATACAATAATTATATTGTCACGATGACCACTCCACGAAAGCAAATGTCTCTTCTATCTCACTTCTTTTTATTTTCTCTATAATAAAGCAAACTGATAAATAATGATATCTTTAGCTTGTTTCTATTTTTCTTAATTTTTGTGCACATGTTGTGAAAACAATAATAAAAAGTTATTATGATCTTGTTTTGTCTTGTCTAGCAAACCAATGTCTTTGGTCTTCATTTTTGCAATCCCATTGGCTTAGCAGCGGGTTTTGACAAACATGGAGAAGCAGTTGACGGACTATTAAAAGCTGGATTTGGTTTTGTTGAAATAGGAAGTGTAACTCCATTGCCACAACCTGGGAATAACAAGCCAAGGGTCTTCAGACTTATGGAGGACAAAGCTGTGATTAATAGGTGAACAAGTGTTTGAACAAAAATTAATTTTCAGAAATTTCTTGTACTAAGTATAACATTTGTGCTTCTTGCAATGGAGGATTGGTAGGTGAGTGGTTAACACCTCATTATTTTGGATCTGAAGGTGTGAGCTCCAGCTGTGAGGTCTGTTGCAGGGTTTGACTTTAGTGCTCACTCACTTGCTAATGCAAGTGTTAAAATTACCAGTAGCTCTGTGCCACAGAAACTGTAACTTTCATTAACGCTCCAGCCTGATGACTCAAACTCAGATCTCAACAGGGTCAAGAATCTTAACTGACCGAACCCATATTAATCCAGCTGGCTATTTACAAGCATGAACATTGAGGATTTCAAATCAGGACTATGGGGAACAAATCCAGCCAGTGATCAGAGTGGGAATTGACCTTAGTGCATCCGAATTGTCCAATGCTGTAACTGCTAGGACACACTGCCTCGATTAGCTAGAAAGGGCATAGAGTTTCATGGTCTGGTGGCATTGCTGACTCCCTGTCATACTATACACACAATCGCAGGGTCATGTTTTTTTCCTTTCTCCCTTTTGCATGGCCTCTTCCCCCCTTTCTTTCCTACCATCAAGCTTTGAGAGGTTGTCCAAAATGTGTTTCTCGTATGGAAACTTGCAAAGATGACCTTTGCAGATGACCTGGGATGTGCTCTAAAGCACTGGATGGTTACATGTTAAAACAAAATTTAAGCTGCTTTATAAGGAGCATACACCATATCAGAAGGTCAAAACAGTTAGTGTTAAACACCACAGCCCTTATGAAACTAAATAATAGACTAAACGATAACAATGTTCAGGGGCACCCAACGCCAATTTTTGGAAAATATCTGTTCGGAAGACGATTTGATATCTAGAATTTTCGGAACATTTGTTGAAAAATTTTCTTGCTTGCCTGCCTCTCCTAGGATTTTCGAACATCTAAAAAATGGTATAATTGCCCATTTTTAATGGATTTTTACCCTAAAAAGGTCACCTAGAATTTTCGGCAGCCTTTTTTCTGGCTGAAATTTTCGAAAAGGTAAGTTTTAATCCCTATAATTTTCGGATCACTAAACTTTCAGCTAGGAAATCCGAACAGATGAAACATTTTTAGGGGATAAAAATATGCCTATATTTACCGTTTAAATACTAAAATACGTTCAACAATGCTATGTTTAAGTGGTTTTGATCTACATTCTCATTGGGTGCTCCTGAATGTTATCTTGTCTATTTGGTAGGTATGGTTTCAACAGCCATGGGCATCACGCTGTTCAGACAAGACTGGAGCAGCAGTTTCTTGTCCGGGGACATCCCCCTGGGATCCTTGGAATTAACCTTGGTAAAAACAAGACATCGGACAATGCTGTGGGAGATTATGTCAAAGGAGTCCAATGTTTCAGTGGTTTGGGGGATTATTTGGTGGTTAATGTTTCATCACCCAATACGCCTGGACTGAGGTCATTGCAGGGAAGAGAGCAACTAGCAAACTTAATAGATAAGGTTAGGAGAAAAAAATATACTAGTAAATTAGGAGATTAAGATCTCAGGAAGTATACTGTAGATCTGAAGTGATGGGAACAAAAATTGAAAATCCGTAGAAGAGACAAGCGGTAAAAAATCCTTTTGGCCAAAGGTAAGTCCAAAATAACAAGAATGCATTATACTTTACTAGGGTTGTCAGAAAGTTTTGAAGGAGACGTCTGAGTTGTCAAAGTAAGCGGCCAGTCCAGGGATATTTTATTTAAAAAACACCATCCGTAAAGAAATGCCAAGCAGAGTAGCCGGCCGATACCAACCAAGTAGGTGGCAATTTTTGGCATCTGGCTACTTTTGACAACCCCTCTTTACATGGATATATCGTTTCAATAACAATGGCTGTTGTGAAACTTGAAGTTTCACTTTGAAAAAGATTCTCTACTTCAATCCAGCCCTCCCCGCCAAGAAAAAAAACAAACCCTGCTAAAATTGTCTTGCCTCCAGCATTAACCCAAGTTGTGAATTTTACAGTTCTATGCCAACATAAGACATGCAGATGTTGTGCATATTATGTCCTAGTTGTAGATAAAAAATATTTTGATGCTGTAATGGAAATCATGCCGTGATGCTTATTCTCACTGTCTTAATCTCGCAAGTATTGCAGTCATGGCAGGTCAAGCATACCCCTCAAGATTCTATTAATAATTAAAAAAATGAATCCGTTAGTTGTTCCCGTAACTGGTGTCAAATTCACATCGGCATTCCTGCATGTGTATTTGATCTGATTGAAAATCTTTGGGTGGATAACATTACTTTGAAGACATTTACATCAATTCAGGGAAACTGAGTTGGTGGAAATTCCATAACCGCCTCGCGCGTGTGAATTCACGGCTCATTATACATGCAACAATGCAGAGATCGGAACTGAAATTTACAACTACCAACAGATTCAACTTTCGAATAATAAATTCATTTAATGGCATCTTTGGGGGGTATGCTTGACCTGGCTTGACTGTAAATTTTGCGAAAAATCATGAGCCAATTTTGCAAGTATTAAATTTTGTGATTTTTCCCTAATCGTGAAATCTAATACTCTCAAAATTAAGTGAGAATAAGGTATATATAAATACTCCAGGGCCCAGTTGTTTGAAGGCCGATTAGTGCTTAACCTGGGGTTAAATTTAACCCGGGTTTCTTTTTCATGTGTTCAAAAGCATTTTCTCGGATAATTTTCTGTGCTATTTTTAGAGGTTCCAATCATCAACTTGTAGACAAAAAGAATTAAACTGAAATGCTTTCCAAGCTTTCAAATCTGAATTCAAATCTCGAACTAACCCTGGGTTATCTTAACCCAGCTTTGAACAACTCGGCCCAGCTGAATACTCTAACCACTAAGCTACTGTGGCTTATGTTTGGGCCAAACTTGAGATACGCCCTGTGCTATGCAAGAGCCAGAATTTATCAAAATCAACTTTCAGTAGTGGTAATCATTGATTTCTTGGTGTCCAATTTCTTTCAGGTATTAGAAGCAAGGGATACTTTGCCTGACAATATGCGCAATCCCTTGCTGGTGAAGATAGCTCCAGATTTGAGTGAAGATGATAAAGAAGACATTGCAGCTGTCGTCAGTAGAAATAAGGTTTGTTCTTAATTATCTCCTTTTTAAAAAGCATAGCAATCTTGGCTTATAAATTATGCATTGCTCAACTTGCTATGGAAACACTCTTTAGCCATTGGGTAATATATTATACTAAACCCAGGCAAATGTAGCTTATGCAATCTGCTGTTACTCAGCAGTTTTGACATGCCCCTCGCTGCTAAACGATCTACATGATAATCAAATACTTTGCTTTATTACGTGTATATGGCTAATCCACAAACACCAAAGATGAAGTTCATCCTCATGATGTTCTGATTGGCTTCTGAATTGAATCTTGTCCGCTCGGGATTTCCCACATTTGTCCCACGAGAAAAAGCCCTCTTTTTGGCCATCACTTAAGCTTGTTTGGTCAAGATGGCTGGACATGGCCTTGTCCTTTTTTGCTTTTCTATTTACCCTGAACTCTTGTTCCATAAAAATGCCAAAAAAAAGAGACATGGACAATATCTAACCACCTTGACCAAATGCATATATATATTGGGCTTTGTTTACTTGTTTGGCTTGTTTACTTTACCGTAGAGTCATCAAGATAGGGAATTTCTTAGAGTTCATTCTTTGAATAAAAAAGATATTGTTTAACCTTGATCAATTCCCTGAACCTTCAGTAACCACCCATATACATGGAACCACAACCCTTGTACTACTTGAATGTCATCAGTTTTAACAGTGACAAATCGGGTGTGGTTTAAAAATCTTTTATACACAAATGAACATGATTCAGTCAAACAGGCTAGAAATAAATGCCTGAGAAAAACATGTAAACATGACCCAAGATTCCAATAAAAATCTTGTTGCACTACCACTTGTACTTTCTTTCATCTGAAACTACAAAAAAATTTACAAATTTGCTCAGCTTAAGATACCATCATAGAAAAATGCATTCTTTGGTGGTTTTGGTACCAACATGTAATTAGGGTTTTATGGGACCTAATGAAGAGTTATGTTTTGAAGATGTCAAAATTTATTAAAGTTAGATTACATTTTTGTTCATCAGGGTGGTGTAGATGGTATCATAGTGACCAACACAACTATCACCAGACCAGAGACTTTAAAAAGTACAAACAAGATGGAGACAGGTGGTTTGAGTGGAAAACCTTTGACAGAACTTTCAACAAGCACAGTTAGAGACATGTATAAACTTACTAATGGTAAGAGTTTTGACATACATTATGCAAAACAGCTGCCCCTCGTAAGTGGTTTTATTTTCTTGTGTCAGTGTGTGATGATGAACTTAATTTAAGTGTCTAGTCTTCTAGCTGGCCTGGCCTGTATATGTTATCTGCAATATAATTAATATAATTATTATTGGTGCCTAAATTTGATGAGACATTATGCCCTCAAAGTTGTTTCTTATGTTTTTTCAACACTATCTTCTTTCTATTTATTTCTGCCCGTAATGAATTAGGAGAGCTTGCAACTATGTCTCTGGAATTTGAATCACCTTCCAATTCACCTGTGGCTCCCCGTCTACTGAGCTGTCAGATTTCTGCCAATTAGCGCAAAGCGGAAACAAGCCTGAATGTAAACAAACAATGAAAAACATGTGCCAAGGGTAATGACGTCATGATTAATGTCATCTCTGCCAATCAGCATTTCACATCGACTTTTTCAATGCAGATATTCAAATTTCAGAGATGTAGTTGCAAGTTCTTCTTCCTTTTCCTGCCTCTCCGCCAGAGTGCCCCAGAGAGTTTGCTCACAGGCTACTTAAAAGTTTATTTGTTATCATTTTGTTCATCCTATGGTGTAACAATCAAATGAAACCTCTCTGGTAGAACTTTTGAATAGCACTATTTTAAAACCTTGGATTTAGCGAAAGAAAGATTTGGAATATTCTGTGATTTTTTACTCTGGCAACAGTTACTTTTAGGAATTGAAGGGCTAATTAATCAAGAGTTAAACCCTTTAAGCCTCAAGATCTACATACAAATTCTTCAGACTGATCTCCACACATTTCTTTTAAGAATGGTTGAGAGAATTTGGTTTAAAATTAAAGCATTCTCCCTTCTGTAATCAATTTAGTGATTCTCATAACCTTTTACTCTTGATGATCTGCTGATGTTGTTAGGAGAAAATTGATGTTGTGAACTCTTGGGACCTAAACGGTTAAGGGATATGATTTGTTTCAGGTAAGGTTCCTATCATTGGTGTTGGAGGAATATCAACAGGTCAGGATGCTTATGACAAAATCAAGGCTGGAGCATCTTTAGTACAACTCTACACAGCCCTTGCTTATGAAGGACCTCCCATTGTAAAGAAAATCAAGAGGGAACTTGCTGAACTTTTGAAGTGAGAAAAACATAATTGTTAAGATAGACATATATATTCATTAAATAATGGGTGCGGTTCTGAGCAATTATTGGGGTCTCGTCGTCATCTCAAAGTCAATATCCACTCTTGTCAGACTACTGAAGGTTGTTTCATGGTAGATCTGTAATGCGCTTGTTTAAAAGAAATGGAGACAACAAAATGATCTATTGTCCTTCCTTCCAGATTAGAATGTTTTTCTGTTAAAATATATTGCTATATTTTTGTTTTAAAATCCTGTGTTGTTGCAAGAGGACAGTTTTTACCAGGACTCCATAAATTCTGTAGTCATTAGCTTAATTTTGGCTGTAGTTGTAGTTCTTGAGGCGACAGGGATGTTGACATTTTTTTTCAGAAATTGCCCTGTATTAAGTATTTTATACAGTTGGGGAGATAGCCTTCAAGCAGTTTTGTTAACCTTGCAGGGCTGTCACTAAGATTTCGAGTTGCTGAGTATATGCAATTAGTAGGCGGGGAATTTTACTGTAAAAACAGATGGAAAGTTCTTTTAGCTCTCTTTTCCTTTTGTTTCCTATAAAAACAGCTAGAGGTCATGCTCATAGTAGCCGGGGGAAATCTCCAGTCTCCCACACTCAGTGACAGCCCTGCCTTGGATGTTGTATTCAAATGAGAAAGTTTTAGTCTAGAATAGGGAAATGTAAATTAAATTTGTTGAACAGTTTACAGATAATATCTAGCTAGGTTTCAGGCCAGTTTCCACTGTTTTCAGAAAGTTTCAGAAGTTAAAATTTTACATCTTTTTTGTGGGATATGTGAAGCGGTCTCTCTCTAAGCTCTATAAACTCTAATCGGAAGTTACAATATTTAAGAATTGTTTTCTATATCAAAGTCAGGATAAACATTACCAGTTAACATAGAGTACTATTTGCCTGTAAATATAGGTTTTTGATGGTGAGCCAAGCACTAAAAACATAGAAATCAAGAGATCTGTCAATTTTTTCACACTGTTCTATTTGGATTGTTTTCTTCTACAGAAATGATGGTTTCAATGCAATAGGAGAAGCTGTTGGGATTGATCATGTTGGGAAGGACAGATAACCACCGTGGCAAACTCAAATGACTTCTGAACACTTCAAGAGGAGTTAATGCAAAAAAAGAACTTCTTTTGGATGACAATGAAGATATATCACATGAGCTTTAAGCTTTAACCTTCATGGTGCTTCATAGACTCAAGGCACCCGAGTGAGCCATTCATTATTAAAAAGGGGAGGAACGTGTTTATTCCTTGGCATATGAAAATGTTTTTTGATATTTAATATCCTTTGCGCATCTCTGTGTACATCTCATTGCAAGGAAAATCTCACAAAACAAAAAGAAAAATTGCCACTGAGAGACATTTCATAGAGATAAAAGACTGGAAATTTGGGGAAGCATGTAATTACTACCCAAATTTAGGTTGAGCACCCACTGCAGAGGTGATGATGCAGTTTTAAATGATTGTGGTTTACTAGGCAAGTGGGCAAAATTTAATGCAAAGTTGAAAGCTAGCAAGAATATTTAGGGAAAAATGCATGAAGTAGGTGAAATAAATACAATCAATATGAAATACCTTTGGCACTTGTTCTGTTTAATAAAAGTTACTGACAATGCCCATTATGTCGCATTGCATTTAGATTTTGTGACAGTCAGTCCCTTGGGGAGCATCCTAGGGACTGACCTCCCAAATGAAGGCACCCTGGGGGACTGAGCGTGGACTCACCAAGGGGGTTTGCTCAGTCCACCAAGGGGGACTTGCTCTTTGGTCTAGCCAAAGGGGAATGGAACAGGGATGCCTATTTTATTAAAATGTATAAAGTAAAAAATTGTTTGGAAAAGAAGATTGGCTTTTTACTCTCAAGACCTCTCTGAGTGTTGAATTGCCTTCCAATCTGCTCCATAATTTGTTCCTAACTCCTTTCACCAGAGCAAAGGGCTCTCTATCTCCCCGCTTTTATATTCAGTGTTAAGTGCTGCATTATCAAGGTCAGTCCAATACTCTTAGATGAAAAATTATATACTTGTTCAAAGATTATTTCACAAATCGTTATTAGTAGTGATATATAATTTTTCAACACAGCAATGCCACAAAAAATTCTTGCAGAGCGTTGGAGGGAGAAAAAATATCATGCAAGCACATGCTCCAAGGTGAATGAAGGGGTTGAAAAAAACAGTCATTCGTACACCAAATCATTCAAGCACCCCCCGAGCCCCCCTCCCCCACCGCCACTCAGAAGTAAAGTCACGCGTCACGCAGGCTGCTCTCCACGTGAGAAGCCTGAAAACTAGTAATATGGCGGCCGTTTCGAACGGGGGAAGGTACTTTGTACGCTTTCGCTGGAAAGCG